CTTCGTTCTATTGAACAACGTGATTTAAGAGTTCGTATATATCATTTTGGGTTTTTTTTTCTTTTCTACTTTTTTTTGTTCAAATTTCTATAGCGTTTATTAAGTGAATTTGAATTAAAATATAAATCTTTAATGATTACTAATTCAAGTATGTTTAATGAAAACCAAGCATTACATTATCAAGTTGATACATATAAAGATACATTAGATGAACATTATGAAGCATTCAATCAAACTAAAAGACAATTAAAAGAAAAATGCAAAGTAAACATTTTTTTTTATCAAATTATTAAAATGAATTAACTTTTATTGTTTTTTTTTTTTTTTTTGAATAAGGATTTTGATTTACAAAAACGTACATTAATTGATTTACAAGAGAATAATAATCAATTAAAAGAAATTTTAATTAATTGTGAAAAATTAATTCAAGTAAATTTATTATTTTAAAGAAAAAAAAAAAGTTTTATTTTGTTATATGTGAAATTCTATAGGAATCAGATGAAGGACAAAAATATTTATCTGTTTTACCAATTGATATAAAATATCAAGAAATATTTCTATTATCGAATTCTCTTGCTAATCGATCGATTAATGAAAAATTAAAAAGAATATTAAATGAAAAATACGAACAAGTTGAACAAATTATTAAATTAAAATTAGAATTAGATGAAGCAAAAAATCTTTTAAGAATACTAAAAGAACAAACACCGAATTCAATTGATTTACATCATCAAAATATAAATAATATTTGTGATTGTGAACAACAAAGTATTCTAAAATAATTAATGAAAAGAAAAAGAAAATTTGTTTGTTTGTTTTTTTTTCATAGAACAATTAATAAGACAAATAACCGATTTGAATAATCGACTACAACAGTTAGCAGCTGATAATGGATCATTACAACAAGAAGTAATATATTTAATAACTATTCAAGAAATTGAGGCTATAGCAAAATTTCTTTATCGCTGGATATAACCATAGACAAAGCGTTTGATAATATTTGATAAAAAATCTCTATGATCATTAGCTTTTCGGCATGGACACAAAGACTTTTTGAATTTAATTAAGGATAATCCTCTCCTTTTCCAGAAATACAATTCAAAATGTTTTGTATTTTATTCATATATATGTATATATACTTTGAACTATTCTCTATCCATTTGCAAAAACAAATAACTTCTTTTGATAGCATTTTGACCCGAAAAAGAACAGCTTTCAAGATCCTCGTGTCATAAAAAACTCGACTTTTTACTTTTTTTTCAACATATTTCCTTTTTGTGTTTGATCTACTCGTAGTTGTCTTATTTTTAGCATAGGATTATGTTAGAGTAGCATGTCGACATATATGAGACATTGTTCGAAATACGATGAATATAACGAAATCGAAGATTTTCGACTTGCGACTTATTTTTAATATTATGGGTTAGTTTTTTGTAATCAAGACAATTTATAATCTCTGATTGAAGAGTCAGCACCTTTAGAATAGTTTACTTTTAGTCTTTAATGCTTTCGTTGACTATTTTATTTCTTTCATTAGTAATAAAAGTGGGATATAGCTAGCAAGAAGCATATTATTTATATTTGTCTGATTAGCGGAATGCCGCAAACATAAACAAAAAGGTACTCTTTGAACGTACAAAACTATCTCATCGAATGTGCAATAATCAAAAGCCTACAAAAACCTTGAGCAGAAAGAAAAAAAAAATC